TTTCTCATGATGTACTCTGCATATAAGTTAAATAAGCAGGGTGACAATATACAGCCTTGACATACTCCTTTTCCTATTTGGAACCAGTCTGTTGTTCCCTGTCCAGTTCTAACTGTTGCTTCCTGGCCTGCATACAGGTTTCTCAAGAGGCTCTACTGTGCCTCAAGTACTGTTACTAATATTAGTAATTGCTATTACTACTATATATTGAACTCCTCCTATGTATCAGGAACCAGTGTAAGAACTTTGTATGTATTAATTAATTAGATCCTCGGAGCCTTATGAGGTAGCTATAAGAAATATCCATTTGGTTATCCATCCAGTCCATCCTAAAGGAGATCTTTAGTGGCGCAGTGGTAAAGAATCTGCCTGCATTGCAAGAGATGTGGGTTTGATCCCTAGGTTGGTAAGACCCCTGTAGAAGAAAATGGCAACCCACTCCAGTATTCTTGCCTGGGAAATCTCATGGACAGAGGAGTCTGGAAGGCTGCAGTCCATGGGGTCTATAAAAAGTAAGATATGACTGAGTAAACAACAACTACTGTTCATATTTTGTGACTAGAAAAAGGCATAGAACATTTAGGTAACTTGAATTAAGCTACACAATAAGTGCGTGTGGAACTCAGATTCAGATCATGGCATCATAACTCAGCAAGTCTTATGCTTAGTTTTCTACTAATAGTCACATTTTATGTTATGAATATGTGAAGTTTCCTTGAAGACAAGTGAGGGCATTTTTTTCTTTTTTTCCACCATCTTTCCACATAAGGCATTCATTTAACATTATCATTGGCTGTTTCTTTGTCTCTTACTGTATATTTCCTTGTGGCATGGTTTTTAATGGCTTACAGTGCTTTTAACAGTGCACTGTTTGATTTAGGCTATGGGTAGATTCCTCTAGTCCACCTGAATTTTAGATTTTCATTCATGTGAAGACCAGTCTTTCTGTCAATATTTGTAATTAATTCAGGGTAATTTTTTTCAAAGCTTACTCACTATAATTTTTAGTCATTAAACCAAAATGCATAATTGTCCAGTCATCAGCTCCCAGAAGTTCCTGCCTAACTACTTAAAACATTTAAAGTGTGTTGGTAGCCGGAATGTTCTGGAAGCACTGCCAAAAGTTTTCCAGGAGCTTCATTCATCCTTTGGGAGCCTCAAGTATAGCCTCATAAAATAGATTGAATATATTTGCACCAATTATGTAGTTTTCTACAAAAGAAAGCATTTGACTAGAGATAAAAATGTATCTAACAGCAACTAAAGTAGACCGCCCCCCACCCCAACCCAGGTAAATGATAGCCTTATAACTAAAAAAAAAAAAAGTCTTTCTTACTTTACAAACATACTTACCAAACTTCTAAGCTTTACTTAGATCTTCTTTTTTTTATATTTGAGATCCTTTTTTACAGAATAGTAAAATTGGTGCATGTTTTCAAACAAAAATTGTGTAATATCTCAAAGTCTATGGCTAATACCATTATTTAGTGCACAAGGAAAAAAAAAAGGAATGACAATATGATTAGCAAGATGATGCTTGATAGCTTTCTAACTCCTGATTTTTTTCCTATTTAGAGAAATATTTTAAAGAGGGGGATACTGTGTTCAAAACTTTGAAACAATTAGAAAAGGGTAGAAGAGCCTGTCATTGATGCAGTTAGCCATGTTCCATATTGATTTGGCAAACCAGAACTTGGATTTGGCTTGAGAAACAGTAGTGTTTGCAAATAAATAGGGTCTTACTGGAATAGATGCTGATTCTCTTAGATAAACTTGGGCCACCAATTGTGCTTATGTTGGTTAGTGTTACTTTCCGGATTGTGCCATCCTTCTGCTCAATCAGTTTTGTTCTTAAGAAGAGAATTGAAACAGTGTATGTGATTACTATTTTAGAAGTACTAGCAGATGACAAATGATAAAATTTAGTATATTTTCAAGGTAGAGGTGTTTTCATAGTAGATAGAATTAAAAACTTGATATATATAAGGAAAGATTGTTTCATAAATTAAAATATTTAAAGAGCAACTTAGTTTTATCACATAATATAGTAAAGTTAGAGTTTTCTCGGTGTTAATATCTTGATATATAGATCTAGTAGGGTATGAAATTACAATAATTTGAATAATGCTTGAAGTGATATTAAGATGTAGCTTTCATTTTCTATTATGGTTAAAGTTTAAATTACATTCTCAATAACCTTAACTATTAGGCTCTTATTAGGAAATGACTTATCCAAGACATTTTAATATTTAATATTAAGTGATTTTAGATTTTGTATTATAATAATATTCTTTATATTTCTTTTAAAATAATGTTCTCATACTTTATCTTGCTTAAGTCTCACAATTTTCTGAGGTAGATGGGGAAGGAAATATAAGTAAAGAAAATAAAGCACAGAGAGGCAAATGCTTACTTAAATTCGTAATTCCACTTTATGACAGCCAGTCATGGTTCTTTTTATGTCTTTTATTATAGATCTTTATAATAAAATATCCTGTAATACATAGATCTTATATAACATATAAATTTTTTTTTATTATTGGATGTTTTATTTTAAGGTTTTCCTTCAAATCTGGGAATGACCATTTAGCTACCATCAGTGTAATATATACTTTTACTTAAAATAAGGCTCTTTTCCTACAATAAACTGAAGGAACCTGCTCCATCTTATGTTCAAAGAAAGACAGAAAATAAAATAGGTTGAATTGTTTCAAATCTCATATTCAGTGACATATACATAAAGTAACAGGAAATATACATGTGGGAATCCTTCCCTTGTTGTCAGGTTTAGAGGCTGAGTTCCAATGTTTACTTATAATTTTTGCAGAAAAATGAAGTTGAAATGAAACTAAATAATTAGCATGCTGTTTTTCAAGAAAAAGAACCACTGTCAAATATCATGCATTCCTTAGATTGTATATATTCTATTTTTAAAAAATATTTGTTGAATAAATGTAAATTTTATGTAGTTGTTGATAGTAGGCTCTAATACTTTTTTAAATTGTCACTTTATGTAAGCTTTGAATTGCTACTACTCTGATCAGATTGTGACGGACAATAGCATTTGTGTTGCTTTATGATGCAAGGTCAGCTGCCATTAATTTAAAGAACTTCTGCCTCAGAAAATTGTACTTTGATGTTTTTATTTTGAGACAAGCGTTTCTGAAATAGTCCAAGTATCTTTGTATTTAATAGCTATTCTCCTCAAATATCTGTCAAAATTGTTACTTATCTTATTCACATAAATGGATTTATATTTCAGTTTCTATTATTTTAATGTAGCCAATGATATGAGACTATTTTTGTGTTGACATAATTATTCTATAGATAGAAATAGCAAGGTAGTTATTATTGTTCTATGTAGTATAAATAAAACAAATAAGTATATGTTATTAAGTCCACACTTACTTTAAGTATCTCTTATTAATTGCGCATGTCTTTGTTATGCCTTTAGAATTCTTGCTCTGGTTATTTTCTTTTAAATCACTTTACATTTAATGTATTATTCACTGATAATTTTATGAGTGTGTGCTACCCATTCTCAAAAGCATATATGTAGTGATTATTTTCTATGCAGATCAGATGGATTTTTAAGGATAAGTAACTGATGACTTACTTCATGTAATTGTCTTTTTGTCAAATATTTTTTAAAATGTCTTAATATTAATGACTGTATTCTGCAATATGGTTTATAAGCGTTATAATTTTTGGTCCTCATAGCAAATCTTTAGTTTTGGCACTGTTAGTTTCATTTTATAGATGAGAAAACTGAGGCTTACAAGGTCTCCCCTATGTAGGAAGTGAATAAGTCCAGGCCTATCTGTGTAAAGATCAGCTCTTAGCCATTGCAATATATAACAACTCAGGATGACTCTAGTTCAGCATCATTGACTCCTTAAAAGTGCTGAATCATGGTAAATTCAGAACTGCACTATTTTATAACCTAGTTCTTTACAGAATATGGTGATAGAACTTTAAGCAAAAGGCAATACAACATGAAGAAAGCAAGTGGTTCCCAAGGGCCCAGCAATATATTGGCAGACCTAGGATTAATTGTTAGAATTTAAGCCCCTTGGCTTGCTTACAGCTCTCATTTATTTGGACCTTTCATTCCAAACTTGAAGGCCAAATGCTGATATATATGAGAGCATTAAATACTCATGTGTTTCATGTTATATCACATTTATGCAAACTAAACTGTGAGACAATTATTTTTTCTTCTTTCCTTTTTTCCCCAAACACAGTGGGATGCACCCTGCTTTTACCCGAGAGTTCAGCTCTGTGGCTTGGATTTATCGCAGTCGTGTCTGTCTTTGATCTCCGTGTTAACTAGAAGTCAAGGGAAGACATGAGGAGGTTTGTTTACTGCAAGGTGGTTCTAGCCACTTCACTGATGTGGGTTCTCGTTGATGTCTTCTTACTCTTGTACTTCAGTGAATGTAACAAATGTGATGACAAGAAGGAGCGGTCCCTGCTACCTGCGCTCAGGGGTAAGCACTTATGAAGCAGATGTTTCTTTTATACAGATAAGAATGGTGGTGACTCATGTTAAAACATGACATTTCAAAATAAGAGTTCTGTTTCTTGACTTAGAAGAGCATTTAAGCAGAACTGTTAATGTACATTTAGCCATGGGAAAGCTACTTTACTTTTCTTGGCCTCAAGTGTTTTGTTGGAAGGAATGAAGAATTATCTCACCTCTAAGGTACCTTCCAATTCTAATAATTCCAACACTGTATGACTGTAGTGAGCATTCAAATTGGACAGAATTTTAAATTTAGTCTTTCAGAAGCAGAGATCAGGAACATAATGTGAAAAAGGAAAACGCTGAAGTGAGATGGTGAGGAAAGTAGCAAAATGAGACTACATTACAGCCCTCAAAACTTCCAAAAGCAATAAAAGAAGGACACTTTTTTAAAAAGCAAGACATGTTGGTGGCTAGATTTAACTTGTGGGCTATCAGCTTGCCATCCTATGTTAAAGGCAAAAGATAATTTTAAGTGTGTTAAAAACTCATTTTCAGTCAATATTCCCTCTTAAGGAACCAGTGTCAGTGACTAGATAAGCATGAAGTTAAGAAACACGATAATTTATATAAATGGTGATTTATTAAATATAGTCATTCATTTCCTAAAGTTATTCCATGGAATTTTTCTATGTTTTCTTTTGGTTTAAATGTCATTAGTTTATTTCTGAAATACCCCTAGTGAACGAGTGCTTCTAAAGTACTTGAGCATGCTTGAGATTAGTTTTAGTTTTTGTTTTGTTCAGTTGCTAAGTTGTGTTTGACTCTTTACAATCCCATGAACTGCAGCATGCCAAGCTTCCCTGTCCTTCACTATCTCCCTGAGTTTGCTCAAACTCATGTTCATTGAGTCAGTGAAGCCATCCAACCATCTCATCCTCTGTTGCCCCCTTCTCCTCTTGCCCTAAGTCTTTTGCAGCATCAGGCTCTTTTCCAATGAGTTGGCTCTTCTTATTATGTGGCCAAAGCTTTGGAGCCTCAGCTTCAACATCAGTTCTTCCAATGAATATTCAGGGTTGATTTCCTTTAGGTTTGACTTCCTTGATCTCCTTGCTGTCCAAGGGACTCTGAAGAATTTTCTCCAGTACCACAGTTCAAAGAATCAATTCTCGGACACTCAGCCTTCTTTATGGTCCAACTCTTACATCTGTACATGACTACTAGAAAAACCATAGCTTTGACTCTGCAGACCTTTATTGGTAAAGTGATGTCTCTGCTTTTTAATATGCTGTCTAGGTTTGTCATAGATTTTCTTCCAAGGAGCAAGTGTCTTTTCATTTCCTCGCTGCAGCCACTATCTGCAGTGATTTTGGAGTCCAAGAAAATGAAATCTGCCACTCTTTCCAATTTTTCCCCGTCTTTTAGCCATGAAGTAATAGGACTGGTTGCCATGATCTTCATTTTTTGAATACTGAGTTTTAAGCCAGCTTTATCACTCTCTTTCACCTTCATTAAGAGGCTCTTTAGTTCCTCTTCACTTTCTGCCATTAAGATGGCATCATATGAATATCTGAGATTGTTGATATTCTTTCATCTTGATTCCAGCTTGTGAGTCATCTGTACTGGCATATCACATGATATGAAAATTGTGAAAATGAAATTGTTAGTCATTCAGCTATGTCCAACTCTTTGCAACCCCATGGACTATAGCCCACCAGGCTCCTTTGTCCATGGGATTCTCCAGGCAAGAATAATGGAGTGGAGTGCCATTCCCTTCTTCAGAAGATCTTCCCAATCCAGGGATCAAGTCCATGTCTCCTGCATCGAGGCAGATTTTTACCATCTGAGCCATCAGGGAAGTAAGAGTACTACAAGAAAAAAGTTGCAATGATCTGAGAGAATAGCACTGAAGCATGTATATTGTCATATGTGAAACAGATCACCAGTCCAGGTTTGATGCTTGAGACAGGGCGCTCAGGGCTGGTGCACTGGGATGGGATGGGAAGGAGGTGGGAGGGGGGTTCAGGATGGGGAACATATGTAAACCCATCACTGATTCATGTCAATCTATGGGAAAACCCACTACAATATTGTAAAGTAATTAGCCTCTAATTAAAATAAGTAAATTAATTTAAAAAAAAAAAACTAAAAAAGAAAAAAACTGCAAGAAGACTGGAGTGGGTTGCCATTTCCTTCTCCAGGGGATCTTCCCAAACTGGTGACTGAACCCATAACTCCTGCACTGGCTGGTAGGTTCGTTACCACTGAGCCACCTGGGAAACTCCTTCACATGATGTACTCTGAATTTAGGTTAAATTATCAGGGTAAAAATATACAGCCTTGACATACTCTTTTCCTAGTTTTGAACCACCCCATTGTTCCATGTCCAGTTTTAACTGTTGCTTCTTGACCCACATACAGGCTTTTCAGGAGACAGATAAGATGATCTGGTTTTTCCATCTCCTTAAGAATTTTTCACAGTTTGTTGTTATGCACACAGTCAAAGGCTTTAGTGTAGTCAATGAAGCAGAAATAGATAATTTTATTCTCCTTGACTTTTTTTCTTAACATTTTTTAACATTTTTTTTCTTAAAATCTAGTTTATGTTAATTCCTTACGTAGCAAAAGTTAGCTTTATAAGCATGATGAAATGTAAACTTTGAAGCCCAGTTGATATATTTGTACCTTTTGGAAAAGTGAATCTAATTTACTGACTTGAGGTTTCCATTCATTAAATGAATGTATTTTGCTTCTAATATTATAGATATTTTTGAAGTTATTTATTAATCAAAATATTCTAAGAAAGAGAATTTCACTGATACTATCTGATTGTATGAGTAGGAAAATTCAGAAAAACATTTCTAAAAATTAATTTTTTGTTGAGTGATTTTGTTGAATATCTTTAGTTTACTTTGCAATAATACTCTGGTCCAGCTGGATAAATTATGATTATCTTCTTTTCAAAATGAGACTAATTCTTTCAGTAGAGTTTCTGACTAGTACAAAAAATTGAAAGTAATATGAAAGTGACTGAGCCTAGACCCATTTAGATAGTTTATATACATTTTTTATGCCCTTATATTAGAATTATTCAAAGAGGAAAACTTTATGAGTCGATCAGTTTTTGATAAATGATCATGGGAATTGATTTGCTGATCTTTGGTTAAAATCACAGAATAAATCGGCCTTCTTTGCTTGTTAGAACTGGTTGAGCAGCTGCTTGGCTGAAAGTGGAAGTGTGATTTGATGGATCACATCAGTTTAGTATGATAACTTGGTCATTTGTTGAACTGAGACATCTAGATTGGTCACAAAAAATTTTATGATCTGATTCAGCAAAACTATGACAGCCTTTTCTGGAAGTACCTAAAGAGCAGTTTTGCTTATTTAAGTTCTTAATGTTCAGTTTCAAATCTCAAAATGTAAAATTTAATGATGCAAGGCAAAAATAGTAATTTTTCCTTGTACTTAAAATGTAAAATTAAACTATATTCTCTTTACTTTTAGTACTTCTTTAATGTTATACATTAATATTTGTCTTGAAAAAGTGAAAATTAGGTTTTATAGTTTTAATTTCATCTTCTATTGTTACTCATTATTTCAGAATATTACTTTATTTAGGAACTCATGCTGTGTATTTAAAATAATATTTTATTTACATGTAGATGATATTGTACAAAGTGCACTTGGCTGAAATTTTCAGGTTCTAGATATGTTAAAAACAGGATTTTTTGACCAAAAAAGTTGATCTTTCTGGACGTTTTTGTCTCCATTATTAAAATAAAGACTTTGGACTAGATGTCTTCTAGTTCTAAATTTTAAACCACTTGTAAATACCCAATATTAGCAAACACTCTGAATTAATTTTTGAGATACATTCATTCATTTACCAAATCATCAATTATTTAAGTGCTTCTCAGGTTAACATGTTGTATATCTTAAATTTACTCAAAGTTGTGTGTCAATTATATCTCAATTATAAAAAAGAAGAACATAGTCTGGTAATGGGAAAAAAACAAGAAACAATCCCAAGTATAATCACCTTAGATTTCAAAGGGGGCATTACTAGATAGATCACCCCAAGGTTAAAAATCCAGCTTTATTGACCAACCTGGCCCTCAAGTCCTCCCCTGTGAATTATTAATAGCTGTGTGACTTTTAGCAAATTCCTTAACAAAATCTCGGTGTTCCATTTAAGATGAGAACCTTAAAGTCAATAAATCTTACTTCACAGAGCTGCCTTGAGAATTAAACATGATGACGTGATAAGCCTCTCAGTGGAGTGGTAGCTCATGCTGACCCTTCATCAGTGTCTGTTAAACGTTGTGAAAGTAATGAAACGTCTGAATGAGACTCCACCAGGCTCTGCCGTCCGGGCTGAGTCAGGTCCACAGCACGGGGAAGTTATTCTGGGTATACCCCCCCAAAAGGAAGTAACTCTTCAAAAAAAAAATGATGGACTATATATACAGTTCTGTCACTAAGTCACCTCTGACTCTTTGTGACCTCATGGATTATAGCATGCCAGACTCCTCTGTCCTCCTCTATCCCTCAGAGTTTACTCAAATTTATGTCCATTGAGTCAATGATGCTATCTAACCATCTCATCCTCTGCTGTCCTCATCTTCTTTTGCCTTCAGTCTTTCCAGGCATCAGGGTCTTTTCCAACGAGTTGGCTGTTTGCATCAGGTGGTCAAAGTATTAGAGCTTTAGCATCAGTCCTTCCAATGAGTATTCAGAGTTGATTTCCTTTAGGGTTGACTAGTTTGATTTCCTTGCCCTCCATGGACCCTCAAGAGTCTCCTCCAGCACATAGTTAATACTAAAAATTTCTTTCTCTGTCTCTTTCAGTAAAAAATGTAATTTAGAAATGATTACAAAGCACAGAGAGTATTGGGATGAGGAAGAACAGTGCTCTGAGTAGAGCATCTAGGATATTAGAAATGGATCTTGAGTACTAGCTAAAACTTCATAGAGACTGTGGCATTTAAACTGAGGTCTAAAAGATAAAAGTAGGAAGTAAAT